AATGGTGGTTGTGAAGTTTGTGCATTGTTGTTCTCACTCTTCCAATTGAAATTTGGGTGATTTCTCCAACCAGGGTTATATGTTTGGGAGTATGGGTTGTGGTTGGGCCTTTGGAAACTGTTTAAAGCATGGGCTTGTTCATGGAGACACTCCTTAAAAGAAGGCAAGGATGGACAATCATTGGTTGAGTGTTCATTTGTTTCACAGATTTGACACACAATGTTTTCAACAGATTTTAATTGACCACTCTTTTTCAATTCTAGTGCCTTGACTTTTCTAGCTAAAGATGCAAACTTAGCTTGGAGGTCATGATCTTCCCTAAGGTTGTACATACCTCCACTAGATGTATGAGGTTGAGTTTTACTCGGTGCCTCATAAGTACCCGCGGTATCCCAATTTTGAGCATTTTCAGCTAACAAGTCTAAGTACTCCATTGCTTCATCAGGGTCTTTATCTTCAAAAGTTCCATTGCACATCAATTCAACCATTTGTCTATCTCTAGGTGTTAACCCTTCATAAAAATGTGAAACCAATCTCCATGTTTCAAAACCATGATGAGGGCAAGTACTAAGCAAGTCTCGATACCTATCCCAACATTGGTAAAATGTTTCTCCTGGTTTTTGAGTGAAAGTGGTGATTTGTCTTTTGAAAGAATTTGTTCTATGAGATGGGAAAAACTTATTTACAAACTGTTGTTGCATTTCATCCCAAGCACGAATGGATCCTGGTCTCAAATTTTGTAGCCATGTTTTAGCTTTATCTTTTAATGAAAAAGGAAAAAGCTTTAATCTGATGGTGTTCATGCTACAATTTAAATTATTATATGTATTGCAGACCTCCTCAAATTCCCTTAAATGCAAGTATGGATTTTCCAATTCTAAGCCATGAAAAGAAGGTAAAAGTTGAATAATATCTGGTTTAAAATTAAAATGAGATGCATCGGAAGGAAAAACTATGCATGATGGTGCACTTGTTCTTGTGGGATTCATGTGGTCTCTAAGTGTTCTAGCACGGTTATTCTCATTATTCTCATTATGAAGTGATTGATTATCTTCTTTGGCCATAATTTCTGAAAATGATGAGGATACCCTATAAAGTCTACCACTTGATGTGTGTGACCACACTCTCATGCACGTGTTGGAATATAATAAAATGAAGAAGAAAACAAAAGAAGAAGGAAGAAAACAAAATAAGGAGAAACAAAATAAAAGAGACAAAGTTATATACAAGAAAAGTGAAAAGAGAAAATAAAATAAAAACTATAATTTATACAAGAACTTACCTCCCCGGCAACGGCGCCAAAAACTTGACACGACTAAAAGATTGATGTCTTCTCCCAAGTGCAGGAGTGTCGAAGTAATAAATAACCCGGCAAGACCGGGGTCGAACCACAGGGACGTTAATTATACAAATTATAAATGACAATAGTACAACAACAACAATAATAATAGTAATAACAATAATAACAACAATAACAATAAGAATAATAATAATAATAATAATAATAATAATAATAATAATAATAAAGAAAAAGAAAAGGAAGATGATGAGAACTTGGAGATGGAAAATTACTGTAAGGATTAAACAATAATAATAACAAATATCAAGGTTAGAGGTTCCACTAATGGTATGTCAAGCAAGTATAGTATAAAATTTTATTATTCAATTGGAAACCACACACAAAGGAGGTTCCAATCATATTATAGATTGTTAACATGATTACATTAGTCATCTTATTTGATTAATGCTAGTACTTGTAAATCTCGTCAAGCATTCATGATTATAACTTATGTTAACAACAAATCAAGTTCCTTTCATAGCTCAGGTGTCGGTTATACCATACAGTATGAACTATGAGAGTGCCAAGCATTTGTTGTACCAAGTGTTATACAACATAAATCAAGATTAGTCATTTAACAAGCAAAGTATTAAACAGTGAACAAGATAACAAATATAAAATATGTTAGTATCAAACATTAAAGTCTATATTGAGTTTACACTATACTTATTCTTATACCATTAGTGTAACCTTTTCACCTTGACATAATAAACTTAGATAGACATAATGAAAGAAAGAAAAATAAATAAACAAAATAAGAACATGAATAAGATTAAAGTTAACTAAGTAAATGCAAGGAAATGAAAGGCATAAACTTGATATTAATGAAAGTAAAGCATAAACATTACAAAAAATACAAAGAGAGAAAGCAAGAGCATGATCTTGATCTGGAAACCAAGATGCCTAAATGCATGGCAAATGCCTCCTTTTATAGACCAAAATTGAGAACTATTGATTTGATGACTAATTGATAAGTGGGTGGCCAACTTTTGACTTGGTAACAATCCTTATCTTCTCTTGTCTGCCCAAAACGTCATTGATAACGTCAAAATTAGAGCCAGTTTAAAACATGAAAGTTGTAGGCAATTGTCTCAGCTTTCTTGTGTAAAACATTCAGCTCATTTGGACTTCTAGAACTCTAGATATGGCCAAAATACTAAATAGTGCTCGGGCTAGAAGACAGATTCGGGCTTCTTTGTTGTTGCTACAATTTGGACTTGAAAATGGCCTTTTTAGATCTTGGGCTCCATATGAAAGTTGTAGGCCTATGTCTTACCTTTCCATCCATATAAAATTGGACCTAAATCTGAGATATATAGCTCCAGATATGACCCAATTACCGAGCAGTGTTCCGGTTTGGATTGCACCGACATCTCTTTTCTAAGTTTGGCCATCTCTTTTCTAAGTCTTGCAATTTAAGTTCTTAAAGTCATCAATCAATCCTTTCATTTATGTGATAGGCCTGCATTTAAAATGAACATTTACCACAAATTAAAGGTATCTTATATTATTAGATATATTATTATAAAACATGCTTTAGTTAAGGAGTTATTGATACTTCAAGTGCAAAATAATGATATAAAACCATGATAAAAATACACTTTTAAGTACTAATCACACAGCGAAAAAAAAAAGAAGAAAAACATAAGGGAAGAGAAAAAACAGTCTCTCTCCACTGTTTGAAACAGCACCATTGCAGCACAAACACTGCCACCACCAACCCCTACACAGCCTGGTTAGCCTCTCTCTCGTTCCCTCTTTTTCTTTGTCCATTTTTCATTTGTTTTTATTTGCATGCAGAATGTGAGCACTTCACATTCTACGGCAAATGAAATATAATTAGGTGGTTATTGTGTAAGGCATAATAACTACTTAATTATAATTCACTGTCAGCCATCAATACATTTAGTTGTTTTGGGCTAGAACATTAGCCCAGCCTAAAATGCAATAGGTGGTATTTTGGTTGGCCCCAGCCCAATTCTGTTTCAGATCCGATCCAATCTCAATCCAATTAAAAAAAAATCTTTTCTAAAAAAACTTTGCAATTTTTGCGTGTATTTTTATACCATTTTATTTAATATTTATTTATATTTTTATATCATAAAGATACAAATCGAGTATTAAAATACCTTGTTTTCTTCAAAAAAAACATTGCAAAAAAATTATAAAACAAAAAAATATTTTTTTATTTTCATGCATACAACCAAGTCTCTTAAAAATAAAATAAAATAATCATATTGTATTTTCATATAACAAAGAAAATTTCAAAAATATGTATTAGCATGTATTTTGGCTTTAATAACCAGTTTATTAAAGTCACAAGAACTAGGCCAATATTTCAAAATTTTCAAAAAAAATTATTTTATTTTCTTTTAATATTTGGGGTCACGACGTTATACGTAAGATGTATTCCACATATTAAATATTTTTGGTGATGTCGATTAGGTTTTACCTGATAATATAAGGATCTCTTTGCTGAGGAGAATTTTTCTTAAACAACAAATGGACCAACAACTTGAAAACACAACAAGACCTTAGATTTTATCAGACAATTAAATCATGCAGATTACTTTAGACAAGATATATTTGAAGTGCTTATACATTCTATTTACATAACCAGTCTTGTATTTGATCTTTAAAACCAATTAAGGTTTCTAATAAACAAATTATTAGATGGTGATTTCCATTCTGTTTTTCTACTAATAAAATATAAAAATTTCTTATCTCATTATATTTGCTAAATATTTGCTAAATAAATAGATAATAGATAAAATTTTGAAAGTGGGTATTTTTTTTACCATGATGCCACGCATACGGCAATAAATATTGAAGTGAGAAACAATAATGGGAATAGAGATAACGCAACCCAAAGGTAAAAGCAAATAATTTGATGGTAAGTAACTACTGAAATATTCTCAATGAAATCTTACTAGAAAAACAAACGAGTAAACTTTGGACAAAATCAACCTTTTATATATATACGAATGTAAGCAAAAGCTAGACAGGAAGCCAGAATTTCCAAGAGTAAAAATAAACAAATAAAAAAGGAGAGCAAATACATATATTTTTTATATAAAAAGAAAATTAAAAGTAGTAATCTTTTCAAACGAGACTGAGAGAAATTTTATGATGGATAGAAAATAATTAATGGTATTTTATTAATTATTTTGTGAGTTCATTTCAAAGAAAAATAGATACAATTAGAAAAAAAAATTATAATTTTTGTGAATTATGGTGCGTTTATTATTTTAATATAAATATAGAAAATAACTAATAAAAGACTTTTAGTTATAAAAAAAATTATAGTCTATGAGAAATTTTATATTTCTAAAAAAATTTAAAAAAAATAGCATACTATTAAATACTTTTCAAGTACATTTAAATACATAAAAAATAGATAAAATATTCCGAAGATTACCAATTTAGAAATGGTTCAATTAGTCAAATATTTTGACTGGAAAATTCCTTGGCAAGCTGCAAGCTCTCAACTCTCCAAGTCTTAGCTGATCTGGCCACTCGAAGATCTTCCATGTCCTTCAACTTTTTAGATCAAAGAATAAGTGACACGTTATCACCTTCACCATCATCGGTCAATGTTTGACCCTAAGTAAGCAACAATTGGTTGACTTTTTAGTTTTTTAAGTTTTTTTGCCAAAATTGATGGGACTCTGACATTTGGGAAGGCGAAGTGGCGAAACGCCGTGTGCTTACACCATTAGTGAAAACAGTGTGTTAAAGGTTGAATTATTTATGTCAGAACATTACACAACACATTGTCCATAAACAAATTCAAGAATGGGAGTGTTCTTCGTGAGATCTTTCTTCATCTCCATCTTAACCACTTCCACCGCACTGGAAATCATCAACCCAGGCCAATCATTGAGAGATGGTGAGACTCTGGTTTCTTCAAGCGGAAGCTTCGAGCTAGGATTTTTCAACCCTCAAGGTTCAACAAGCAGATACTTGGGATTATGGCACGACAGGTCTCCTCAGACAGTTTTATGGGTTGCCAATAGAGAACATTCACTTTCTGATAATATGGGAGTTCTGAACATCACCACCCAAGGGATTCTAATCCTTCTCAATAGCACAAACCATATTGTTTGGTCATCAAATTCAAGTGCATCAAGAACTACGCAGAATCCTGTTGCCCAGCTCTTGGAGTCTGGAAATTTTGTTGTGAGAGAAGGAAATGATTATAACCCTACAAACTTTTTGTGGCAGAGTTTTGATCATCCTTGTGATACCTTACTACCTGGAATGAGAATGGGAGTCAACTTTGTAACACGGATTGACAGGTTTCTGTCATCTTGGAAGAGCCCAGAAGATCCTGCTCGAGGTGAGTTTACGTTTGGTATCGATCCTCACGGGTATCCACAGCTACTTTTGAAGAAAGGGAATAGAACAGCGTTTAGAGGGGGTCCATGGACTGGCATAAAATTTACTTCAAATCCTAGACCGATACCCAATCAAATTTCCACAAATGAATTTGTGCTCAACAACCAAGAGGTTTATTTCGAGTATAGGATTCAAAGTTCAGTTTCTTCAAAGCTTACACTAAGTCCACTGGGGCTTTCTCAGAGCTTCACATGGAATGACAGAGCTCAGGATTGGGTGATTGTTGAAAATGGCCAGTACGATCAGTGTGAAGAGTATGCGTTTTGTGGTCCCAACACTCGCTGTGAGATAACTAGAACTCCTATATGTGTATGCTTGAATGGATTCACGCCTATGTCTCCAGTAGATTGGAATTTTTCAGATTGGTCAGGCGGTGATAAAGATGGCTTTCTCAAGTATACAGCAAATAAACTGCCAGACACATCTTCTTCCTGGTTTGACAAGAGCATTGACCTCAAGGAATGTGAGAGATTGTGTCTGAAGAACTGCTCTTGTACTGCTTATACAAATTTAGATTTCAGGGCAGGTGGAAGTGGCTGCCTGATTTGGTTTGGTGACCTGATTGATATGAGAAGGTCAACTGGGGATGGACAAGACGTCTATGTTCGGGTGGCTGCTTCGGAATTAGGTACGCCTTCCAATAATGCAATTAGTTATTGATTTAATTCGCTCCTATCTAGATCACCAGCATGGATAGAAATTGAAGAATTATTCATGTTCCTCTTCACCTCAAAAAGCCTGGAAAGGGAAAAATCAATGTAGCATAGAAACTAGGAAATCTTGACTCTGCTGCTTTGTCCACTTCTTCAACGCTAAATTATTATGAACTTCTGCTTCTTCTTCCGTTTCCTTCTACTCTAAATAAAAAGAATTTCGAGATTTTATTCAAGTTTCAGTTGCGAAGGAAGTCTTCAACTAGGGAATATGTCCAGTTGCTTCTAACTATTCTTTATTGCGTTCAGGTGCAAATGCGAAGAAAAGGAACTTGAGTACGAAGTTGAAAGCAGGAATAATTGCCGGCGCCGCTGCATTGGGCATGGGCATGCTATTGGCAGGAATGATGTTCTGCAGGCGTAGGAGGAATCTTGGGAAGAATGATAGACTTGAAGAAGTAAGAAAAGAGGACATAGAATTACCAATAGTTGATTTGAGTACCATAGCTCATGCCACTGATAACTTTTCAAGCAGCAACAAGTTGGGAGAAGGTGGTTTTGGACCTGTATATAAGGTAACAAAAGAATCTCCAAGTAACCTATATGTATCATCTTCGTTTATGAAACTAAAAGAACTGCTGGAATCATGACTTAGGGCATATTGATAGAAGGACAAGAAATAGCGGTGAAAAGGCTTTCAAAGAGTTCTGTTCAAGGGATGGACGAGTTCAAAAATGAAGTTAAATTCATTGCTAAACTTCAGCATCGCAATCTCGTAAAGCTTCTTGGTTACTGCATTCAAGAAGATGAAAATATGTTAATCTATGAATACATGCCCAATAAAAGTTTGGACGTCTTCATTTTCGGTGCGAACCTGTCCAAATCAACAGCATTTTAGCTCTAGAAGTTATCATTTATATTCTTACTTCTGTTACGAATCGAGTTGTTAATCAGACTAACATGAATGAAAAATTGACCAGACCATGCAAGAAGAAAATTACTGGATTGGACGAAGCGTATGAACATTATTGGTGGAATTGCTCGAGGACTGCTTTATCTCCATCAAGACTCTAGACTGAGAGTAATTCATAGAGATATCAAAGCCAGCAACATTTTACTGGATAATGAGCTAAATCCAAAAATCTCGGACTTTGGCCTTGCTAGAATGTTTCGTGGAGATGAAACAGAGGCCAATACTCATAGGGTGATTGGAACATAGTAAGTATCCTTAATCTTTCCTTGCTAATCTTCATTTGCATTTTTTGAGAAATTTTCTTGTTGCCTGCATTTTTCAGTGGCTATATGTCTCCTGAGTATGCGTCGAATGGACACTTCTCTGTGAAATCCGACGTCTTTAGCTTTGGTGTCCTCATCCTGGAGATAGTGAGTGGAAAGAAAAATAGGGGATTTCGTCACCCGGATCGAAACCTTAACCTCCTCGGGCATGTAAGAATTTACACAAAAATGTTAATGCAAAGTCTTGATGAACTGAGAGGTGATGTTAAATTGTGCAGTTTCCTTTCAGGCAATTAAAATGGCATTGCTGAGAATAATAATTAGTACAGCAAGGATGCTTTCTTTAGTTTACCCAACAAAATACATGTTGGCTTATTTGGGGTTTCAGAAATGTTACAGTGATTTTGCTGTTGTGACCTGTCACATGACAAGCAAACCAACTGGCAAATTAGAGCAGCCAGTCTGCTGACATCTTGCCCTGTTTTTATTTTTCTTAGGCGTGGATACTTTGGATAAAAGGAACACCATCGGAACTGATTGATGAATGTTTAGGTTACTTGAGCAATACATCTGAAGTGTTAAGATGCATTCATGTGGCTTTACTGTGTGTGCAACAACGACCAGAAGACAGGCCAAACATGCCAACTGTGGTTCAAATATTATGCAATGAAAATCCGTTGCCTCAGCCTAAACAACCTGGATTTTTCATGGGAAAGAATCCACTCGAACAGGAAAGTTCATCAAATCAGATGGAAGCTTGCTCTTCAAATGAAATGAGTTTGACATTGTTAGAGGCAAGGTAGATTATCATCACTTGACGACTGATCGATTGCAGTAGAAATGCTGTGATCAGACAAGTGCAATCTAGCATGGGTCACAACATTGACATTCGTTTTTTCTGTTCTCCATTCCAGAACAGGATGCTAGACCCGTAAAGTTAATTCTATCTATATTGGAGTAGGCAATGTATTACTATTATTTTTATTGATAAATGAAAATCCATAATTCTATCTATATTGGAGTAGGCAATGTATTACTATTATTTGTATTGATAAATGAAAATCCATTCATCAAAAAACAAAAACTGGTGCTTCCCCAGCCACAAAGAGAACTGGATGCCTCATTACTGCTTTATGTAGTAAAACGAGCCAACAGGCAGCAACTCCTAACCCTCCCATAGTTGTGGATCATGTGATTTGAGATCCTCAAAGCTCGTAACTCTTTCTGTTATCTAATCTTTAAGTCAGTTAAGTTTGCTTGCCACCCTTCTTAAACCCCATAAATAATATGCTTAGCTTATTTAGAGTGTCAAGGATTAGCATTTTCCATTCCCTGACCTATCAAAACCAAATCTACAGGGGACTACAACATCTCCACCTCTTCTAACGTCTAAGCTGGGATCAGATGCTTTACTGGAATGTTCCTCTCTAATAGAAAATGCTGTGTTCCATTAACATGAACCATCGGTTCTTTATATTTCCACAATGTCTTCAGAAGTTTTTGGCTGAACATTCTAGGAAGCACTTATAAGTCAATCAAGGATTATGCAATCTGCAGCTAGAGACCATGACTCTCTCATACTTGCCAATATCACTAATTATGTACTCTGTGGATTATAGGGGCCACAGTCATCCATATGAGAAAGCAAGAACAAAGCACACCTCTGCTCCTGGTTTGAATGGAAAACAACAGCAGAGAGTACACATACAGGAGTTGCCGGATCAGCCAAATACTATATCTTTAAATCAAACTATCCAGAAACATATCTTAATCCCTGATAAATAATTAGCTCATGTCATCTTGAAGCATCAAAACAGAAATTAAAGGATTAAGTGATAATAAGACTGAGGTTAAAATGCGAAGTTGTTTCAATTTCTAATCCTTCATTCACTATATTCCAATAATATAAGTCGTTACAGCTAAAAAAAGAAAGATAAGAAAAGCCCACGAAATGGGAAACAAATGTCAAAATAATAATAATAATTTAAAAAAGATTAGCAACAATCTTTGAACTCCTGTAGAAGAGCTTCCTCTAACAAAAACTGAGACTCTTCCATCAACTCAGGACTCAATCTGAACATCAAAACACAAAACTCCATCTGATTAAGTGCTTCATCGCCATCAAAATCGCCTTCTTTTAACATACTCCTTAAATCATCGTCACTCAAATCTTGCAAACCCAATAAAGCTGAGTTCTTTTTAAGACTATCAAAAGTGATGACACCCTTTTCACCATCCATCAAAAGATTGAAGCCGTTGCATAGTTCTCCAATAAGACCATCACCACCTAGTTTGTTGGCCATAAGAGGCAAGAAATCTTGAAAGTTTGAGTTTTGGTTTTGTGTAGATGCCATTTTTTTTCTGTGGAGAAGAGGTCTTGAGAGTGTAAGGGAGATTGAAACTTGGCTTGCGGATTGAGAGTTGGGATGTTTAGGCTCGTGGGTTTGGTTTATATAGATAGGAAGTGGGGAATTGGTTTTTCCAAGAAGGAGAGGCCATAGAAGACAACTAAGGGACAGGTCATCAAGGAAGGAAGGAAGGTCGGTCAAGACCACATCCACTTTCTCATGGGAGCTGCTGCCTATGGGGTTTCTGGGAAGGTTGTTCAGGGGTAAGACGGTCATTCTAATGGAAAGCTGGAGGCGGGTTCCTGCCTCTTGCGAGATTTTGGGAAGGTCAGCAGGGGTAGAGTTGACAATTTGGAAGAAGTAAAAGCATTCTCTTGTGGTCTTTTGTGAAGAGTATAGGGGTAAAATGGTATATGTAAAACAAAGTAAGGGTGGGCCTCCTTGGATAACTTCCTTTGTGGAGAAGGGGATGTCATGAGGGGCAGAACTGTCAACATGAAACGAAAACTCGGGGGAGATTTATTACTTCATGGAGAAGGTCAATGGAGGCGGGACTTTTGGAGTTGCTTTGCCATTTACCAAGAAGTGAGAAATTTTGGACGGTCGTTCTTTTTGGAGAAATGGGTTTGGATTTGGATGCTGCCATGCAATCTTTGGTGCCCTTTTTTTTTTTTTGTTCGTTAACCTCTTTTATGGGTGAAAAGATCTTTCACATAATGAAATTTGCTTTTTTAAAAAAAGAGAAAATTTAGTGGCTGTCATGTTGGATAATATAGATTGAATTTGCTTAATAAAATTGGGTAGGATTATCTTGTTTTATGTTTGGTGTATTTTATATTGTATTTAATAATTTGTTATATATTATGTTTGATTGATATTAAATGAAATTTAATATGCAAGGTTTTGGATTGGTTTGGGTTTAAAAAAATAGGGGAAAGATTGATTAAAGTTGATCTTATCAAAAACTTATTTATTTTTTTGATTTAAAAGATATTTAAGAATATAATAATGGTTATTTTTAAAAATGCTTTTTCACTAAAAAATATATCAAATAATATTTTTTATTTTTAAAATTATTTTTAATATTATCACATCAAAATAATCTTAAAATATTTAAAATATAATAATAATTTAAAATAAAAATAAATAAATATTTAAAAATATAAAAATAAATTAAATCAATATATTTATCAGTTTTCCCCCTCTCACAACTAGATTGGAATCATCAATATGATATGATCAAGGAAGAAGGAACGAAAGTGACTCTCCATTATCAACCAGTGTGATGTCATATGGTATATAGAATTTGTTTTCATCATTCTAACGTGTGTAGGGTTGCTTCTTGGTCAAATTTGCATGAAGCTGACGCTGACCCCATCAAAAGGGTTAACTCATTGTCTGAAAGGGTGAAAGGGTTCATGTTCGATGTCGAGATCACAAGAACCACCCCTTTTTGAATGGGCCAGATGCATGAGTGCTTGTGGCTCGGGTTCCTCCTCTTTCATCCTTTCTGCGATATTCCTCATCTAGATTGCAGGATTTTCATCAGGCCCAAGTCTTAGGTCTTTATAAAAATTATATCTAAGTGATTTGATATGTTATTTAAAGGGAAAAAAAACTACAGTTCAATTTTAAATTATACTAGTATATTAGCTTATGCTCTATAACAAATTAATAAAAAAATTAAATATATAAAAATATATAAAACATAGAGAATATATTAAATACCTTGGGTTTAGTGATCAAGCCAAATCTAAAATAATCTTGGGTCTAGTTGTAAAAACGAACCCAATGACATGGGGTTTGGTAACAAAACCAGACCCCAAAGCTTTAGATTTGACAACCTAAAAGTTCAAAAGCTGTTAGATTTAGTTGGGTAACCAGACTCAACACCAATAAATTTGACTAAAGACAGGACTCAACACTAATGGGTTCTATGAGACATCAGGACCTAACACTAATAAGTCTTACAGGGCAATAGGAAGCAAAGTTATTGAGTCTTATTGGCAACAAGGCTCAACTATATTCGATCCTATTGGCTTTAGGATTCAACATTATTATGTTTTACTAGGCAAACAGATTCAACTCTTTTAGATTTTGGTGGAAACAATACTTAATGTTATTAAGTTTTGCTTGCAGCAAGATCTAATTTCTTATCTTCACTTTCCTCCTTATTTAACTTTTGTTTTTCTCGGTCTACCTCCACCCCTCTTTTAAACTCGTATAAACTTTATTATGAAATTACAATTGAATTTAACCAAACCATAAATCCTTAAAAATCCAATGAAAAATGTCACTAGATCATTAATTTTCCACTCAAATAAAAATAAACATTCAAAAGCACACTCAATTGTATCTCCTCGCGGATCAAAAACTCATTCAGTTCTCTAAGAAAGTTGAAAACAAATAATTTAAAGTAAAATAAAATAAAATAAAAAGGAGTATTTTCAAAAGACAAAAAGAAACATGGTTTAATAAAAAAAATCAAGCCAACATGAAATGAAGAAAAATTATCATCAAAATATCTTAAACATAAGAAATTGGTTGCTTGTGTACTGGGCATTGCTCTATTATGTGTTATTGATGGTGTTAGTGTAGAAAAATATTTTATTCAAAGATAATCATGATGAAAATACATTTCATGTTTTTAATACAACTTAAGCATTTTTACATTTAAAAAGAATTGTTGTTGACTCACCACGGAGTGCGGCCCAATATACTAGCTATTATATTATTACATAACGGTTATTTTTAAAAAATTATTTTTTAAATCATCACATTAAAATAATACAAAAACATCAAAAAATTAATTTGAATAAAGAAAAAAAATAAAAACAATTTCAATTTTTTTTAAAATATTTTTAAATCACAAAACAAACATACTTTAATAAAGAAATTCAACCCAACCACAAATTAAAAAAAATATTATCACCCAACTTTTATATAATATAGAGAAAGTCTCATCAATATATTTTCTCTTTAAAATATGAAAAAAAATGAGAGGACAGAAAAAAAATTGTAAGAGGAAAAAACATAAAATTCAAAATATCTTAGAAGAAACAAAAAAATAAAGAGAAAGAAATTAGTTGTTAGTGTATTAGACGCTGCTTTAGTATACATTATTAATGGTTTTATCATAAAAAATACTTTTTTTTTAAGATAGTGATGTTGCAAATATATTATGTGCTGTTAACCCAACTCAAGCATTTTTATATTTGAGAAAAAAATTGTTATTAACCCACTATGCTAGTTATTATATTATTATTATATTATCATATAACGGTTATTTAAAAAAAATATTTTTTAAAAAATATATTGAGATAATGTTTTTAATGTTTATAATTCATTTTTTATATCATCACATAAAAATAATACAAAAACATAATAAAATATTAATTTGAATTAAAGAAAAAAAATATAAAATTTTCAATTGGTTTAAAAGTATTTTTGAAATGCAAAAACAAACATGTTTTATTAAGAAAATTCAATACAATCTCAAATGAAAAAAATAAATAAATATATCATCACCCAACTTTTATACAACATAAAAAAAAAGTTTCATTAATTTTTTTTTTATCGCATAAAAAAATTACATAAAAGAAAAGAAAAGGAAAAAGATTAAAGTATTGAGTCATACTACATATTATTGGATTTGACTCCCTAGCAGGATGCATAATTATTGGGTCTAACGGCAACAAGACTTAATATTCTATGATCTTACAGTAATAGGACTCAATACTATGGGTTGGAGAATCCAACCCTATTAGGTCCCAATATGTATAGGACCTAACATCATTAGGGATGCGAGTTGGAGCATTCATTTTATCCTTTTTATTTATTTATTTATTTTATTTTATTAAAATAAAAAAGGAATAAAAGTTGTTCTTAGAAGTTCTCACTCATTCAAAAAGATATAACACATATGAAATCTTAGTTTCTTCATTGACTTTCTAAGGTATAACTTTTGCCACTATATTAGTGGCTTAGCTCTTCACTCTTCCCCAAAAGCTTTTTTTATAAAAATAGTGTCTAGTAGGACCCGTGTTGGGTCATATTGATCAATAGATCCCATGCTATAATGTATAGCTGCTCAACCAAACCAAACAATAATTTTTTACTAAAAACATGAAAGATAATGCCCCCTGCAATGATATTACAGTGCGGTCTATAATGTAAACATTTTATATCTATAATGTGGTCCATAATACAATGAATCTATATTCATAATAAATATATAATGTTTTTTCCCCTCATTTTTAAATTATAATATAATGTGTCTATAAACTTTATTAATACATCACACGTAAGGAGCTAGGATTAAATTTTAAGGGACAAGATTAAGATAAGTTTTTTAGAGAGGAGTAGAACTGAATTTCATTGATTTTGGACATAAAACTTAAAATTGTTCTTTTTCTATAGGACATTATATATATATATATATAAAAGGCACTAAGGATATCTATAAATAAATAAATAAGCTTAAAAGTTTCTTATTACGAGGAAAAAAAAATTTAAGATTCCTATTAAATAATAAAAGTTGTTTCATGTTCAACTTTGTTTCTAAGTATTTTGGTTTTTTTTTGAGATTTTTTTAATTTTATTATTTAAATATTAGGTTTTTATTAAATGTTATCTATCACATAATTTTTTTTTCTTTTTAACTTGTTCATTAAATGGAAAAATATTAAAAAACAAATTAAAGATTCAAGACCTATCTTTAACCTCAACACAAGCTTTACCCATAGTTTTATTTAGTGACTTTTTTTTTGTTTGTTTTTTTAATTATATTTTTTAAAGTTGAGTTTTTATCAAATTTTATCATTTGATATAGTAAATTAATTGAAAATTGATTTTTTTTTAATTTTTTTAATTATTTTTTATCATAAAATAAAATAAATAAATTTAACCTAGTAATTGGATAGCGAGTCTGATAAGTTGACTATGATGAATTTAATATTTTTTTTCTTTTGATTTTTTTTTGAACCTATGTAGTCTGTAAGATTATA